TAGCATGGAAAAGCTAGAACCTCCTTACATTGGTTAACTTGGGAGGTGCTTTGTCTGTACCAAGTAGCAGTGATTAACTAAATCCATGGGCATGAAAAGCAGTCTGAGGAGTAGTGTCTCAAGTATTAAAATGACTAGGAAGAAAAGAATAGAAGCAGTAATAAAAAAAAAAAACAGCCCATCTTTCCTGGGACCCAAAGCCTCATGTGTTGCTGTGGCCAGTGCCCTCCTAAAGTCTGCTTTTGCTCCCTTGGTTTTAAAGGTTGTGAATGTCCTGTGCCCCTGGTGTTTGGACACAGCGCCTTGGTACACTTGGCAGTGCCAGTAAGATGGGAATCCAAGGTGCACCTTCCTTCTCCCTGGACTTTACCTCACCTTGCCAAGTCCTTACCAGTCCTGTACCTAACCTCTGTCTCTTTGAATTTTCTGAGAATATTTTCCTCTGTCCTCTTTTATATATGGAGTTCTGTGAGTTCTGTCCTCTATAGTCTGAGATTTTGGTACCAGCTGGGAGTGCCTGGAGCTGGAAAGAAGGCACCTTCCTCTGCACCCTGCCTCCTGGGATGCTTCCTGGTCTCCTTCCTGGAGGGCAACATTTTCTGGAGCAGTGTTTAAAGCAGCCTTGTCATGTTTCTAAGTTCTTTTTTTGTGTAAATATTGGTCTTAAATGTTGTTACCAATTGTGTGGCATATAGCACTTAAAAATTAACCTTGCTATAGGCAAACACTTTTTCCCCCCCAAATCTGAAAGGCCAGGGTCACTTTTTGCCCCTGTATTATCTCTGCTCCTCTGAAGAGCTTTAACGTGTGGGCTTTTGTGAAGACCACATTCAAACCTGTATTAGAGACTGCCGGAACAGGTAGGAAGTGAAGGAAAGTGGTACACACGCTGCATCTTCATTGGCAGTTGTGCCCTTAAAGACATTTCAGCAGATGAAGGTTGTCAGGGAGGAGAAATGGAGAAAATATGTAACTTTCTGGTGAGTAGGAGTTTGGGATATGTTTGGCAGTGATGAAATAAATGACTCTCACTTAGAAAAAAAAAACTAGGAATGGAAATCCCATTCAAACCATCTATTCCCCTACTGGTGATTTTCTCAGAGGATCTGAAAATATCATATCATAGTGATATATTTGTACCTATGTTTATAGCAGCACAATCTGTGATAGCCTAATCTTGGAAACAACCCAGATGTCCATCACCTAAATGATGTATGAAAAAAAGTGGTGGTTTTATATAATTGAGTATTACTCAGCTATAAAAAATGATAAGCTTGAAGCCTTCATATTTAAGGTTATGCCACTTGAAGATATACTCATAAGTGAAATAAACCAGACCCACATGTGTAAATATCGTTGGGTCTCCCTAGTATATGAACTCAAAAGTAGAAATAAAAATAAAAGGTATAAGACAATTAAAAGCAAAGTGAGAACTTGAGGATTAGACAATGAAGAGAAGGCAAGGACAAAAGATAGGAAACATGATAGGGGCAAGACCATATATTTTTATGCGCAGGATGGTTAAGGCAATGATCTTGCAAGTCTTCAGCATGTTTTTGGAAACTGGCAGTTTATTGGTAAGATTCTCACCCTGACTAACTATATATGCAGATACCTGTGAACTAAGCAACTGCACTGAAGATAGTAAAGTGTAATTGTAGGGTCATCCTTGGAACGCCCATCATTCTGGTCTTCTAAATATGTACTGCTTTTCCTGACATACTAATTACTTCCATACTGTCTCTCATATAAATGTTTGTTTGAAAAAAGAAGGGTAGGGGCTGGGGAGATGACTTAGTGGAATAAGCGCTTCTGTAGCAAGTCCAATGGCCTGAGCGTAATCCCCAGTTCCACCAAGAAAAATAATTAATTAATTAATTTAAAAAGGTAATAAATGAAAACAATAGACAAGAAAAAAAGTTGTCACAGACTGTCGTGCTACAAGGCTGTATATAATTTAGCTTTTAAATTTCTCTTTATAAATCTGTAACATTTTATTCCAATTTTTTAACAATACTTTTTTATTTTGTTCAATTTTTTTCTTAAAATTCTTGAGAGATGTAAAGTTGAACATATTGATACTTGATGGAAAATGCATGCTCCATGTTTCACTAAAATTTATGATATTCTGACCGATAGTGAGATTAAGTTCAACTGCCTATGTTGTAGCTTAATAATAATAAGCTTCTCTTCAGGAGGTTAACAACCTAAGTTTACAGACTTAAAATTAGAAAAAAAGAAGGGCTGCAAGGACAGCCAATATTTTTGCTCTAGCCTTTCAAGGTCAGTGCAGACTCAGGACATATGAGATCCTGTACTGTAACATCTTGTAACTCAGTTGTATCCCAGATTTTCTGATCAAGGAGATTATGGGGTCAAAGAGGAGAGTGATTGATGATGTAGAGTGTGCCTAAGGAGAGACACATGGAGAGAAAACATTCTCTCAGGCTTTCACAGAGAGCACAGTGGCCAAGCAATGGCCGTGACTCATCTACATGGCTGACACTGACAAAGGATATACAAACTGTGGCACAGGGTTCCAGTATAAATCCTGAGGCAATTTGAGTGACCTTATGAGACACAAAAGTTACATTTCTTGTTATATATGTCTTGCTCTTTCTTGGTCTTAACCATGCATCAAAGAATTATAAAAATGAAATATAAAAGTACTTCCATATGAATATGGTGAACTGCAAAAGGCTCAAGTCAACAACTTCAGACATTGGCAGTCTTACAGAACATCCACTACTTCTATGGACTTCTGTATTATATTGGAATATTTTACTGAATTCATGCACGTACAACTTTTAAATGACAATGAAATGCCCTTCTCTGACAAAACTATCCAAAAAAGAGGGAAACAAATGAAAGGCCATTTTGTTTTTGTATACTCAAAATACTTAGGATAGTGTAAGTACATGAGGCGGTGTTTTTAGTGCTAGAGGTTTTAAAGGAGTTGACGGAATAAGGTCAAGATCTGCTGGTCTTGAAAACAAAACATCTTCATTATTTCCTGCTACAACAATCCTCTCTGGAACTTGCATTATCACACTAGCATTTGGAATGTAGATGCAACAATTGAAGGAACAGCAGATGACATGACTGTTGTAGATGCAGCTTCAATAAGATGACAGATAATCAAACTAAATAGACGCCTACAACTTCTAGAAGAGGAAAACAAAGAACGTGATGAAAGAGAAATGGTCATGTATTCAATTACTGTTGCTTTCTGGCTGCTTAATAGCTGGCTCTGGTTTCGCCGCTAGAGGTAACCTCGGCGTTCAGATATATTGTCTCAGCTGCTGGAAATATAAAGGATTTACAAACGTCTTTGTTTCTGTCTTTGCAGTGTATGTGATTTTATATAGCCCATGCCCTAAAAAATGTATTTCTTCCAGAAAGTAGGGGAAAGGACCTATATTTGTAAAAGTAAGGTATATTCTGTTCCTCTGCTGTACTCTCTTTAAGCTAGTTCTGCAGTAACATCTTACGTAAAATTCTTTTGCATGTTTTGTAAATAGGTACTATTTTTTTAAATTGGTTTTTAACCTCATCAGTCTGCACAGCTGATTCTCTGAAAGGGAGAGAGAATGCATCAGGAATGATTTGGAAGGGTGTCTGTAAAGAAAATAAGTGTTTTGTGCTGCTTACCACTAGGAAGCAGTTTTGTTAATAGACATTTTTGCACCGCCTTTGGACATTAACACGATGTCATGGTCTGGTACCAGATTTAAGAAAATGAAACCACCTAATATTTCATGATCACCTGTATAAATTAAATTGATTCCTAACAATACAGAAGTAAAAAAAAATACTTAGGATAGATATACAGCTGCATTCTTTTAACTCAATGAATAGAGAGATTTGTTCTAATAATGTTTGTGGACAGGATATCATGTCTCCATCTTGTACAATGTATAACCACTAATGCAACAATATGTGATGTTTTAATTATTGATACTGTGCTATTAATCCGTGTTGAAACTGTCTCATTGTTATTTGCTTCTCAATAAAATCATTAACAAAAAAAAGAAAATGACTACCCTCTAAAAAGTGATCTAAGAGGATTTCAGAAAATGGAAAAATATCCCTTACTCTTGGATAGGAAAAATCAACGTTCTGAAAATAACCATACTCTCAAAGTTGTTATGAAGATTTAATGCAGTCCCTATCAAAATGCCATCAATGTACCTCACAGAGCTAAAGAAAACATTCTTTTTTTTTTTTTTTTTCTCCAAATGCCCTCAGGTTTTTTTTTTTTGGGGATTGAACTACAGCAACCTGAGGCTGACAGCTTTGTGGAAGCAGCCACTTAAACAACTGAGCTAGGGCCAGGCCCCCAACAAAACATTCTTAAAATTTGATTTGAACCA